ACGTTGTGTACATACACTATAGCGTACGTTAAATCAACAATAGACAATAAAAAAAAATTTAAGAACGTAATATTGCACGTATGTATTATGAAAATGTTAATGCTGAGCAAAATATGTTTGAGTTAATTATTATTCCTAACAAATTTGATAAAATATTTAATATACACATAAAATCTAATTTTTATCAATAAAGATATTTTCTCATATATTAATAAAATATAATTTATATAATAATAAAGTTATACTTTAAGTTCTATTAAATACAATTATTATTATGAGAAAATTCGATAAAAAGACATTATTAATCTCTAATATTGACGTAGATCATATATTTAAAACATTATTTTTGCTTGAAATAAAATTCTAAGCACGCATAAATTGCTTCTTCGTATGTTTCTCCCATATCAAACATCTTGTCATCTATTTCCGGCGCGATCGTGCGTGTTTCAAATGGATCGAACGTAGGCTGTGGCGGTATCTCTTGGGATTTACAATTCCCAAATGTAATTTCTAGTACTTTTAGGATATGAAAGAAATGTTCTAAACAAATACAAGAAGTATAGTTTATTTTTAAATAAAAGTGGAAAAATATTGAAGAAATCTAAGTATAATTTAAGTAAGTATAATTATTAAATAAATTATTAAATAATTATTAAATAAATCTAAGTATAATTTAATTAATGTTTATTTATTGTTCAACGAATATTATTTTTTGTATTAACATTTAAAAATTAAGTGTTATATAATTGAGAAATCCAAAGTCTTCTTAATTTATTTTAAAATTTTTATTCAGACATTTTTGTTATCAAGTTGCATATCAAAATTTCTCATATGATATACTTTATCTTTGTTCAAATAATAAGAGTACTGTCATTTATGATATAGCACATTATGAGTCAGAATTATGCCATTTATGATACCTTCTATTAATAACATAATTTTAAGGAGATAATTTTTATTGTGCAGGCATTTTTGTAATAAAAAATTATTAGATCTTCTTATTAAAGATATTAACAAGTGCCTTCATACGGAAAAATTTGTTAGATTATTATTTGGTGCTATATTAATATATCGAGATTAAAAATATATTATAAAAAATATACTATAGAAAAACATATATAGACATATTAAATATAATGATGAAAATTTTATTTTTAACTTTTATTATAATAGCAATTGTATAAGATATTCCCAATATATTCTATTATAAATCATTCATCACACTAATTATTTGTTTCTTCTTTATTATTTAAAATTTATTATTTTAAATATAACTGTAAAAAAATAATTGATTTTTAATATTTGTTAAATTTTTTTAATTCATAGTAATCCAATAATTCAGCCTTGAGCTATCTGTTCAGTTATCTAAATAAAAGAAATAATAAAATTAATTTCTTGTTAAATTAGGCATGTTATGTCAGAAAAATGTATATTCACATTTTTATTGTGTCAACTTAAAATAAAAATTTATGGCAGATAGCAAATAAGAAAATGAACTTAAATAAATCACCTTGTAAAAAAAATGTCAATTTTACTACACATATTTATTAGTTATTGCAAATTATTAGTTATTGCAAACATAATATGTATTGATTAATTAAAAAAAATAACTTAGATACTTACGTTTTTATTCATCCTTCAGTAATTATATTTTATTTCTCCATAAATGTTATTTATTCAATGATGAGCATGATCATGTTCATTTTTTTCTGGTAGCGGTGCGTATACAGTAAAAAATGCTATGGCCCAAATGCAGAAGAGTATTAATAGTAGTGACCACACTGTTAAATTGAATTTGTCCCATCCGAAAATAATATGACGGATTGAATTAAATTGACGTATTTGTTCGTTGGATTGCGAACAACAAATTGCTGCGCTACTTCGATTGTCCGCCATCATATCAATCGCAACTCTTACGTCTCGAGTGATTCAATATTCGACAAATTGACTTAGGTGGCTTGATAAACGAAATATCACTGATGCCAGTACGAATATGGCCGTAAAGAATAAATTAGATTAGATTAGATAACGTCTCTTTTTGTAACAACTTTCATTTTCCTGAGAATATAAAATCAATTTATTAATCAAAGTAGAAAAGTAAATTAAGTTATTAATCTAGAAAACTACTCAGAAATAAATAATTAAATTTTAAAGAAGTTTGTTGCTATATGAGATATATTTAACGCGATAGGTTATCATGTTCCTTGACCAAATAAAATTTAGATATTAATTTAAATTTTTAATTATAAAAATATGATTTACATAGATACACACATAAATACACACACAAGGATAATTATTTATATGATTCACCAATTAGAAAGAATAAATAATTAGTTAATTAATGTAGATTTCATATAATTAAAAATCGTCAACTTTAGTATTTGTAAAATATATTTATGAACAACAGTCCGTATTGTCATTATTAGTTTTATCCCATGCAAATAACCAATATCCGAGAGCTGTCCCAGCTCCGATAGCGATGCAAAGCCAATAGTTGTACGTCATAAAAATAAACATGAGAAAATAGCCGAGCACCACTTGGATCACGTGCAAAAACGTTTGAAAGAAATGTACTCCGGAAAACAACAATGCACTGTAATAACAAACAACGTGATAAAAAATTGTGAACACACTGTGAAAAATGATAACTGTTATTTTCACTATTCTACGTACTTTCTTGATTTCTTCTGCTGATTCTTTCTGAGAAACGTCGTGCGTGCGAAGAGATACTCACTGAAATGCGTACGTGACTCGTTACCCGCACTTTACGCGTTTCAATGTATATTTACTCACCGATAAGATTTTAGCCCTTCATACAATGCGGTTAAAAGAATGACACCGATTACAGAACCGATCATTCCTTCCGCGTTATTTATGATCCAGCCTTTAAACAAAATAGTTTCCTGGACGCCATCGTGAAATGACATCTGCAAAGTGCGCAATTATTATAATTATGAATATAATAAAAAAAAGATGAGACATAGATCTTAGTTTATATCACGGACACTTACTCCATGCATCTTGTCTAGTATATATATCGTTGCCAGACACTTTCGCAAAAGGCAGCACGCGCTGTTATGACATTATTGAAGAAATTTTTATCAGACGGTCAAATGACTTCATCTTTTATCAAATTGTAGATATCATATCTCATATACTTATCATATAAGGCAGTCAAAGTTAGAATCAACAGAACTTCTTTAATATAATGCATTAATCTCCTACTTCCTTATTTATAAGCTATTCTTGTTTGAAACAAATTTAGTTTAAATATTTATTATTAAATTTTAGAAGCTAAAGTTTTTGATCAGCATAAAATGTAAATAATAAAAAATAATAATCGCAATAAAAATAATATAAGAATAAAATAACTTTAAAATTGTTTGCAAAGAATATTCAACTTTACAGAGATTGCGCAAAAGATTGTTTACTTTATGGCATTTCTAATAATATCATGCTAATACATAAGCAATATTATCCCTTTTATTTTATTTTTTTTTTTTGCATAAAAGTGATATTGCGATCCCATAAGAAATCGTAAAATTTTAATATACATACTATTCAAATATTTTATTTTCATGTCAGTCTTCTCTCGTTCAATTTGTAGAAACCTTAAAATATATACGGCGTCACCAGCTGTGTACTGTGTAGTTACTGACACAAAGAAAACAGATAAAAAGGAAGATGCAAAGTATCTTTGAAGTGAAAAAGATCTGTTTTATTATAGAAAAGATATTGGTAATTAATAATGTTTGATAAAAAATATCATAAAAATGACCTCATAAAGGGGATTTCAACATAATTTTCTATTGTAGGAGCCTAGCGAAACAAAGAAAAAGTTGCTTGGAAATAATGTATATATTACGACGTTTTGCGCAACATGTTTTTACGGAATTCCTATGATACGCAATTTAGTTCTACATTGATTTTAAATTCAATTCAATTGTTACCGAGTTCTCATTGCATATTAACAATATTATACTACAAACGTTCCTTCTAAAAAGAATTTTACTTCAAGCTCGTGCGTAATTCATATTGGCATCGCTCGTTTCACGCACGTTGAACGGAATCGACTTGCAAGTCTCGGTCGCGACGGCGATTATGTAATATTGCGATCGGTGGCGAGCCGGTGGCAAATCCCGGCTCTCAATTGTGAAAGGGCCAAAGAGTTCTAGATGTTAAATAAATCGATTTCTCTCGTTTCTCTCCCTCTTTCTCGTCGGCTTTCTCCCCCATTCGGGGTTGCATACTCGCCGCCACCACTACCCTTGCCGCCTGACGATCACCACCAAGATGCCCGGCCTGCGTGAACGAGACGGGCGCAACCTGTGGCTGATCCTGACCGGCGCGCCTCCCTCCGGATATTCAGCCACGCTCCCAATTCTCAAAGCGCTTCTACTCAGTGCTATTCCCACCGTGCGGCCGCTTGCAACGTCGATCTCTCGCCGAGGAAAACCCCGGCCCGCCGTGCACGACTCGCGGATCGTCGTCGGCGGCTACGGCAATGCGCGTCGGATGCAGGTTCACCGCTGATGCAACGAGGGACAAATCGCGCACGGAGCGCCGCGACGCAACCCTCCGAGGGTGACCATGAGCGTACCGGCTTACCGAGCTGTCGTAGTGAAACTTTAGTCCTGACGATGCGGCGATTGTGAGTTTAACGTATCGTCTACGTCTACAACATTGGAGGCGACAACGGGGTGCCAAAAAAATGTGCGGATGCTGTCGAGAAAGAGAAAAACGGCTGAACCGCGAGTGAAAGAAGACTGCTGTTCGTTGATGAAGGATGTGTGATTAGCGACCGTCCTTAATTAGTCGCGACGGCGACGGGTATTCTGTCAAGAAGCGAACGCTAGATATATTGTTGATCGATGTTGAATGCGATCAGAAAAAAGGTAAGTATTTTCTCCGTTTATTCAATATCACTTTATCACGATTGCATGCAAAATAAGTATAAAATTGCAATATTACGTAAAATTACGAATTGCGAGCAAATACAACAGCTGAATAGCTGAGCAATAAAACTTAGACGTAGACTCCGAATTGCCCTTTCTCCTTTATTCATATTAGATATCAGCATTTCGCTCATTATCGTTTTCATTCAAACGTATTTCTCGCCAAATAATCAAGTAAAAGGTCAATGTTCCGGGATATTCTATCCCGTATACTATTCAATGCGTATACACACATGGGGATATGTATTTGCGTATGCAGCGTCCAATAAAATTGAAATAAATATTCTAATTGATATCGATTTATTTCTTTTAGTTTCTGTTAAATATATTGCATAATAAAAAAATATAAAAAAATTTAAATCAAATATTTATTAGGTTTATTGTGAATCTAATTACATAATAAAAGATAATGTAAAATATTGCAAAAGAATGTGTCATTAATATATTTGATATAAAACAATGTTTACAAGATTATTATTAACATAATAATGTTTATAAGATTTTTAAAATATAAAAATTTATGTACACAGTTAATTTCAATATTGCAGATAAAATATTAAATTATAATAATTGTATTAGTTGAGATTAATTTATATATACATACATATATATTACAAATAAATTTAAAATAATAGAAAAGCAATAACATAAAATTGTTTAATTTCATTTAATTTAACATTATAATATTATTCTGATTCGTTTTCAATTTTAAATTTCAAAAATTTACGTGCACGCGTGAAAAGATTAAAAAAAACTAGTATTAACAGCATTTACAGTTACGAGTATTTACAGCATTTTGCCAAATCTTTTTCCAAAATTCTACAATAATTTTCTACAATAATTGATGCTTGATTTTCTTAAATAAGGAATATAATTTAATTATATACAGTATATGCATTATATTCTAAACCCAAAATTTCTTATCAAGATCGTGCGCATAACAAGTCGGATAAAAGCTATTATCATCACATACGCATTGTCCAGAATAGTTGGCTGTATTTGTTCATAAATCAGAATATAATTGCTTTTATGCTTCAACAGATCTTGAACAGTTTCACATATCTATAATATAATAATTGATAATTCTTGATATGCGTTTTCCTAATTTTGTTTTTCAATTTTCATAACAATTTATTTTTTAATACGTGAAGCATACTTACCAATGTAAAACCGCACAATTGTATTTTACTTATTCATTATACAATCAAATATTAAATATTCAATGATTCGATGCAAATATCATGTAATGTTAGCTGTGGAAACAGTATTCTATTTTTACAAAGAAAAATGCAGTTAATGGAGAAACGAATTATCCAATATAAAAATTATGACGAAGCATAATTTTGTATAAAATCGTGTTATTTAATAATATGTGCTACAAAATTCAGTAAAATTGTAGAAAATAATTTTGTAAAATTATTTTATTATAAATATTCTTTCTATTACATCTGATCCTTTTATTGTGAATAGAATTATTCATTCTGAAAGTATTGATCCAACCGCTTGACGAGAATAACTCTTACTGCCCCTATTAATATATCTTTTGAACCAACCTCATTACACACTTATGAATAAAGAAATTATAATAGTAATATTCTCAGTTATGTTGCAGATGTAATTTAGTTGGACATATAGCAACTCTTTCGTCAAAGAGAAATACATCAGCTTCATGTTCAAAATTAATCAACGATACGGAATATGAAATCGAAGACTGATTAATTGCTATCTATAACTTTTAAAAGTACATCTCACGCATCATGAGCTTCTTAACTTACAATTATTCAGCCTCGCATCACACAAGAACACATATGTTCGATTCATAGAGAAAAAAAAAGATGAAGTCTTCGAATAGCGACGTCAAACTATATCTTTCTACGTTGAATGAGATTGTTTACGAAGAAAGTATTCAAAGTTCCATTAATTTGTATTAACTTAATATGCACTACCTCGAAGAAGGCAAGATACATTTGATCGAACTTGCCGCGTTTGTCGATCATTTTTATACAAACTTTTACTGTGACTAAATAAAACTGATCGTTCATGCCGGTAAACGTAACATATCGTAAGATCGGGACCAATGCGAATGCTATCGACGTAAAATACTTGTGCATGTACGAGCGTGCTATGGCGACGTAGAAATTTAACCGAGTCACGACTACGGGAGAGAGTAGCTCGATATAATTTTCGACATGAACCTTACATCCAGTATAGGAAAAGAGCGATCGATAACGTCGTGAGACGAAGATGTTTAAAGATGGCAGGAGGCTTCGACATTTATTTTTCGAGTGTACGATATAAAGTAGCGATAATATATAAGACGCCAAGTAGCCAACAACTTTGAGAAGTATGTTACTTGACACGCAGAACATCTCAGAAACAAAGGAGAAAGTTTCGTCCACGCGCAACTCCGACGACTTTGTCGAATAAAAGATTGGCCGGGGTATAAAAGAGAAAATATAAAACTGGAAATAAAATGCCGAAAGGAAGTCCAGGGAAGGATAGCAGCGAGAATATCCAACTAGAACCTTTGTCTAGGACGTCTAGGCAAAACGAATCTACCGACGCTACAGAAATAATAGACGTGAAGGCACCGCTAAGACATGGCGGAAGAAAAACTTACGATTCAGGTATGTACACTTTCTATATTTTATTAAATTTTTGTTGCACGTGTAACACAGAATGCATCTATACTGGACATGTTTACGTGAATTATTTGCATTAAAATAAATTATCTATCATAACAATTAATAATGATGTAATGATTAAATTATTATTATTAAATTATTATTAAATTATGATTTAATGGAATGATAAATAAACAAGATATAATCAATTTTATTGATCGATTATATATTTCTTGAGAAACAATTTTAGGCAGAAGATATGCGTGTGCGCGCGTTCTTACTGATTATACTGAATTTATATCGTAACGATCCACGTGAGGTATTTGGAGTTATTTACTTAGATTGTGTTCTGCTCAGGTAACTTAACTCTTGTGACTTCATGTTATTCAAATTTAATAAACTCCGATTAAATACGAATACTGCTTAGGTAGATATTCGAGATAGTGTTCCCTTAAGATTCTCGCGTGACTACGATTTCGCATACATTTAAAATTTGCAAATTGATGCCCTTCGTGACCTGCTCGCAGATGCAAATTTAACTTCGGAAAATCTAACATTAGATACTGCCTAAAACGGAAGAAAACTTTCGAATTTACGGTCTTCATAGTAGTTTAATACGTCTCAATTTCTCCTCTTATCTATCGCTCGCGTGTTTAGCTGATTATCAAAAGACGCGCTACGAATAGTATGTGTTCCGAAACTGAATCAACTATAGGAAAAGATCGGCATTTATAACGTCGATCCTTTCGGGACACGTAACTTCGAAGAACATATTGCAGTCGGAAACTGCATGAATGTTTCAATGCGTTTCGCCTAGCATCGGAATCCGTTTGACCAGATACGACATATATTTTGAAACAAGATTCACTGCGACCACTGGGAAATATTTGAATAATTTATGTTGTAACACCCATCTTTTTCACAGCCGAAAGAGTCCCTCAAACTGAAACAGCAAGAACAAAATGTAAAGGGTCATAAGTTCAAAAGTTCAACCATTTAGAGAATTCTGTTTTTATCCATATTCGTCAATATCAAAATTAGTCTGCACATGAATAGCTTAAACTTTGTCGATTTGCAGATATTTTTGCAAGCATACTTTTAGAAACACTTTCCATCAAAGTTTAATTCACAAAAGTAATTTTAATTTTATTTAAATTAAATTCAACAGATATTCTCTTATCTGCACCTTTTCATAAAATTGGATTATTTCTGTATGAATAGAAATCATATTTCTGAGCTATTTCTTTTCTAAAGATATAATTTTCTTCAAACATCCAAATTTAAATTTCTACCGAATTAACAAAGCTCATTAAAAATACTTCTTCCGTCAATAGAAACACAAATGTTATTTCGCAAATGAACGTAATGTGATTGTCAGAGGGGTCGAGTGGAGAAAAGAAAATCGATATGGTACCCCTCTAGCAAACTCTGATCCACTCGCAACACGCCCTCGATTCTGATCTCAAAAGGGTCAGATCTCATATAGCTACATATACTTCTATTTATACGTTAGAAACGTTATCACGAACATTCTCACTACTTATTATAATTTGCCTAAAAGATAAAAGGAATTACTAAACATATATTTAAAATTAAATATATATTTAAGATATCAGATTATTACTGATGCTTATAATGTTATTACTACTAATGTTTATCATGCAATATATAATTCAAATTAAAAATAATTCTAAAGTTGTATAATAATATAATAATATAATAATTAAGTTATAAATAATTGAAAATTAAAAAGATTCGATTTTAATAAAACATGTAGCAATTGTGAAATCATAAACCTTCTTTGACGAACAAACGATAAAACGAAACAGTTTTATAAATTCTTTTGACAAAATTCTTATTTCAAGAAGAGTCTTATTGTAAAAGGGAAATAAAAAGAAAAGGTAGTAGAAAGCATTTCTTTGCCTTAAGTGTGACAATTTCTATTCTGCCACGCTTTCAATTATCTCAAGGCTTTTTTTACCCAAGTAACAATTAAATCTTTCTGTTACTTTTGCAAAGGAAATTTCAATTCAGTCTAAACAATTAATAGCAGTGTAACATTAAAGATATTCTTGCATCGGATTAATGCAAATGCATAATATTCACGTAACCTGAGATGAGAAATCATAAATCTCACGCATTGTGCATTGTACGGTTGACTGCTTTCGCGGCCAAGACCAATATCACGATGGGCCACCAACAGAGGGGTTGCAAAGCATGGATCAGGGATGGCGCCACCGTGATGCCAACCACCCCCGACTGTCGAGGACCGGCAAAACCACCCCCGTAAAGCAGTACGCCACCAGGGGGTTTGGGAAGCCGCCATTTCTGCCTAACTCCGCAGTAGCTATATCCCACGCCTTTAATGCCAATGAAATGTCAAGGGATGTCGCGCGTTATATACTCGCCGACGGTGTCGGGGTGCTCGGCTCGGGTTTCGTAAGCTCGCGATTCTTCGCGTATTGGCGTTTTCTCGTAGAGTTGATCGCGGTCGTGCTATTGGCGGTGGTACTGCACAGAGTCCTGGTCCCGATTGTGCTCGGTGCGTCAGAGACATCCGCGTTACGCACAAGTCAGCGCGTTCATGCCATCAATTAAATAACGCCGATATTGTTCGCGCGCCGCTGCTCGCGTTCGGTGTTCCTGGTGTTGCTCTCTGAATCCCACGCGCCTGTGTCTCATGCGCGCTATCGATCAACCATCGTTGTTATTGAAATTATCGATCTGCTCGAAAAAGTTGCGCCTAAAAAGAAAAAATCCAACCCGACCACATTGCCCGCAATTTCGGCGGGTAGCGGATGATCGTGAGGCCCAAGCCGATCGCAATCGATCCGGCTCGAATGACCGCGGCGACCCTGAACGCGAGCCGGCTCGTTCTCGGTGAATCAAATTCCAAACGCCGTCCGACAAAATCGAAATTTTCCCTCGTTGAGGCTTCAACCTTGAGACGGCGGTACAGTGGCGAAAGCTCGGTCAAGGGAAAAGCTACGAGGGAACGATCGAACATCCGCGCAAATACTGGCTGAACAGAGAGAGCCGCTTATAAAAGTCGCCTATGCCTCGAAAGACGGTCAGGTAAAAGAACTCGTTCATCGAAGACCGCCGAATCGGTTCGCGATGAGCGAGCAGGATGTGGACGATGTTGCTTTTCTGACAGGTGAGAGTTCCCTATAGATGTGGCTGAAAGTTAGGTCGCATGCCTTTTAATACATCGTCAATGACGCTTTCTTCAACACGGCGCGTCATTAACACGCGTCTGCTAATACTCAGACAATTCCTTTTTCATAAAAACGGCTCGGTCAGATGGCCCACTTACAGCCCTCCGAGCTGCGAATAGACTATAAAGCACGTGTGTGCGATCAATAAGAGAAAAGCTTCCTTCGATCTTTCAAATTAAAGTGTGTATACCTTGTTCTCACTCACGCTCTCGTATCACTTCCACTCACTGATGCTTTTGTTATTAAGGTCTCTTTATTTACAGCGGAAATAGATACGTGTGACGCGCCAATAATTTATACGATAATGTCATTGTATGTATCTATATGTGCATGACTGTGTAATAAAACATATTAACAAAAGTGTTACATTATATTACATACATAACATAAAATTTATAAAGGTACGGTTGATAATAAGGTTGATAATAATATAGAATTTTTTTATCAAAGGCATTATAAAATTTCAATAAATCAAATAAAAAATTGATACATTGCTCAAAAATTTCTAATAAAGTTTTAATATCTTCAAAATAAATTTCTATATCTTCTAATACATAATTTCTTTTAAACACAAAAGTATTAATTATAAAACAAAGATATATATAAATTATATATATAAGATTATATATATAAGTTAATATATATATATATATATTATATATATATTATATATATATATTATTTTATATT